CCCCCCCCCCCCCGCACCACCATCACCCGGTGTAGAAATGTATGAGACTGTGTGGAAATCTACCCCCACTTCCCCACATGTTTGGATCTGACTGCCATCAAAAGCAAAATCTATTTTGTGTGTTGAAATTGCCAGTCACTTAAGCCAATGCTTTAGCTTTTTACCCCATTCCCCTATCCCATACCAGTTTTTTTCCCCTGGGTTTGTAATTTGAGCCAATTGTAATAGAGAAACATTATAACTTTTTTGCAATTGATTTTGTCTTAACCAGATAATTGAAGTAGAAGGAAGACATGAGATTGTCTCACTTGTTGGAACTCTAGCAGATGAAGGACATCTTCATGCTGCTCTCTCAGATAAAGATGGACATGTTGTTGGTGGCCACGTTATGGGAAACATGAAAGTTTTCACCACTGCCGAAGTTGTCGTTGGAAACTGTGACATGCTTTCATTTACCAGAGAATTTGATGAAGAGACTGGCTTTGATGAACTGGTGGTGAAAGAAAAGGTCTGACACCTGTCTTAAAAGTTTAACCATAAAATAGATGCATAGGAATTTTTGAACAGTTAATCTTTGTATACTTGCTTTTAAATTTTTCTGTTGTGATGCCTAAACACCCACACCTCATTCCTGGTTTTCATACCATGACACAGGACTGTCTCTAAGATATCAAGTTGCCGGGTATATGCTATTGCTGCTTAACCCTTTAAGCCCTACGAGTGATCAGCATGAAATTTCTCCTCATAATATCAATGCCTTAGAAAACAGAGTAGTCATGAGAACTGATTACATGATCAGTGAAGATGAGTCTAATTGATATTTCGACAAATTTTCCCCACGACTTCTATTGAAAAAGTATAGGGATGGTAAATGAGAATCTCAATTTTGATATTAAGGTTGAAAGGGTTAAGGAAGCTAGGAAGTTCTTTTGGTCCTATTTTCTATTTGTTTCCTATGAAAGTAGACAGGGCTCTTGGCCTTAGTTGCTGGGGAACATTTCTGGCCCTTGGTCTTTAGTGACATAAATTCCTCATTACACATTAGTATCATCAATTTAGTCTAAAGAGGCTGTGTGGTGGCAGTTTAGTCCAGTCTGTTTACTCTTGCCTTATAACTCATTTAATTTCTGTGTTACTCAAATATCCTGTCACTTTTTTAATTGGTTATTTTAAATTTTACTCAGTTCCTTATACCGAACCTATTGATTGCATTTTCTTATCTCCCCAGTCTTCCTCTACTTTTAAAATCAAAGATGGTGACTACATGAATTCAAAGGAATAGTGATTGATTGCTTGCCCTAAAAAGTATACTCCAAGAGAAGGCTTTTGAGGAAAATGAAAGTTGTTTTAATCTAAATTTTGCACATTCTAATATTGATGAGGTGCATTCGAGAAATAATGAGAACAGATATGAACTACATAGACCTCATGCTGGCCCGCTTTTACATCAAATAGTAACAAAATTGTTCACCTCACTGCTTGAAACAATGCTGCTTTTTTTTACCAACTTTTTTTTTCTTTTTACCATCTCTCAGTCATGATGTAGCGGTTTCCAGAAGAGGTTTATTGACTAAATAATGTTTAAAATGTATTATAACAGAAACATTTCATTAAAATGTGATGGAATTTGTAACCTTTCCTTGTAAGTTTTTTTTTAACCTAGATCTAGATCAGTAGTGGTTCTTCGCCTCAACACATAAATTACTGCTTTACCCCTTGACTTATTTAGACCATGTACATTATTGTTTTCATACAACTGACCATCAAGATCCCGGAGGGGGTGGGGGGGTTACTTGGGTTAATTTTTGCTGGGTATGTGCCACTGGCCTCTCAGAACCCCTACCCCATTAGTCTCTTCTGTGGCCATATTATAGACCACATCTTAGTCACTTTGGGAAAAAAGTAATTTTCACAATCCCAACTTAGTCACTTTCTGTTTATGCACTAAGTCATCCAGAAATGAACTGACACATTTGCTAAACTTAATGTGTTGAAGAGGTGGATACCACCATCCACTGGATAAATCTCTATCAAGTGGATAATGCAATATTTATTGTTTTCCCTTGTACGTATCTGCTGGATAGTGATTTATCCAGTAGATAGTGCTATCTAACATTTAAAAACCAGGGCCTGGTGGATAACACTAACCTCCTTTTAAACAACTAGTGCAGAACAATATTGTATTTGAAAGCCTTTTTGAAATGTAGCCATCCTCACACAGGAAAAAATGAGACATTCCCATTTTTGGATATTTTAGGGTATTTAAAGAATACCCACAAAAATCCCAAATTTGGAAGAGTGAGACAAGTCCCAACCAGGGAACTTGGTTGGGAATTCCCTGGTTGGGACTTGTCTCACTTTGCCAAATTTGGGATTTTTGTGGGTATTCTTTAACCCTTTAAGTCCCAATAGTGATCAACATCAATTTTCTGCGAACAATATCCATACACTGTCAAGAGATAGAAATATGAGAATTAATAAAATGATCACCAAAGCGAAAATGCCTTGATCTTTTTTCAAATTCTCTCAACTAATTCTTAATGGAAATGTATAGAGATTAGTATGGAGAATTTGTAACTGGATTTCGGGGCTTAAAGGGTTAAATACCCTAAAAAATCCAATATTGGGGATCTGTTATTTTTTCCTGTGATATCATGTTATAATGTCAACACCTTTCTGTCAACATGCCTCTCTCCCCTACCCTGCCGCCTCCCAAAATAAAACACGGCAGTCACTTGACAGACCAGGATTTATAATTGGATCAGGATTTTAGAAAGGAATGTTTTACTCCATGTGACCTGACTCAAACCTATGATACACCTCATAATGTATGCAAACAGTTTTAAAAAAAAAATAAAAATGTAATTTTGAAGCGCAAATACAAATAGTCCGCGAGTCAAAACATTTCCTTAAAATAATCTTTTTGGGGGATTACAAAGTATCTTCCCAGGTTTAATTTTCTCCAGTGAAAGTCATGAGTTAATATGGCATTCACGATGAATCACAAGTTCACTCATCGTTTGAATTTGCAATCGACTCAGCGGCGGTTTCGATGAAGTTGGCCAGTTGGACATCGTTATCAGATAAACCACTGCAGTCGTGTGTACTCAGGGTGATCTGTACTTTGTTGTACACGTTAAACCACTCGGGATGATGATCCATCTTTTCTGCTTTCAATGCCACACGTGTCATAAATCCAAATGCCTGGTTGAAATCCTTGAACAGAAATTCCTTCTGAATGGCGTCTCTGCCCTCCACTTCAGCCCACCCAGCCTTTCGTAATGAGGGAAGACTTGTGTTTCTTTCTTCTTCGTCGAGTTTCTGCCGTTTAGGAGCTGACATGACTTAGTTTCTTGAGTTCTGCACAAAAAAGTACAAAGACGCTCTGAAGTTATGGCGATCGATTATAATTTTAGCGCCTTTTCCACTAATCGGAAAGATTCAGGGAGGGGAGGGTTGTTTTCTTTACTTTGCGTTTTTTGATCATAATTCGTGAAAAGTCGAAAAGGTATAGCTTAAATCATTGTTTGAACAATAAAAAATGGTAACAGTGAACAAATTATTTCTCAAAAAAAAGAAATTGCCACTCTTCCGCTAAAACGAAAGACTTCCTGCACCCCCGACAAGATAAAAATTGTATTCACTGAGATAATTTTCCCATGTGACATCTCTAGCCAATCACGTGAAGAGCAGGCAGAGTTTTCCCGCCAAATTTTATCCTTCCCGGGAAGAAGCAAGCGGCGAACAAGCATTCAGTTGATGAAAACTTTGTAAAAATGTCTGGATTTGACGAACGCCCCGTATACTTCAGCGATGCATTTGGCTCTGAAGAGCAAACAGATGATCGAGAAGTCAACAGAATCAGCGCAAGGAAGAGATTCAGGGAATTCATTCGCGAATTTCACGAGGGAACCTTCAGCTATCCATACCGGTAAACAAAATGGCGCTTGCCTAAACAGCGTGGATCTTTTGCTTGTCTAGAAAACAAGCCTCGATCATTGCATTGTACCTTCATTTATAATCGTTTGAATGGAAAAAGTCTGTTTGATTGACAAAATTCACTCGCGGAATTTCTAAATTATGCGCTTTAAGTCACATAATATAGAACTGTTAATTTGGACGAGGATGCAAACATGTGCTCTGGAAAATATTACTCTGGCTGATCGTTAAAAAATCTTGGTTTTTCTTTTGGCATTTAAGTTTTCGATCGAATGAGGAAAAATCTCTAACAGAGGAGAAGATTTGGTGTTTTTTTGGGAATCTTTGACTGAGATCTGTGGTAAAGAATACAGTGAGAATATGACGTTTGTAAGCTTGCTTAGGCAAAAGTTTTTACTCGATCCGTGTTTCTTATTCTAGCGATCAACTCAAAAGGCATTACAATCTTGGCCATTATTACCTTGAAGTTGATCTGCAGGATCTGACCAGCTATGACGAACAACTTGCTGATAAACTTACAAAGAGTCCTGCAGAATTCCTTCCTCTGGTAAGTTTTGCACCTTAAAAACATTGATTTGAAACTGAACCGATGTTTCCAGTCATCGTGACTTGAATTTAGATTTAGAACACTTGAACCCCACTGGCCTGGTAAAAGTGGGCTCCAATTCAAGTTGTTGCCTGGAGGTCTGTGGTTGCTTTCCTAGTGGCTGTTTTGTTATGTTAACTGTTTGTGGCTAGACACTTCGATCAGCCTTTTATCTTAAACTCCCTAACATTATTATATTTTTTTCCAACATTGTAAAAAAAATGATGAAAAATGATACAAATTTTGACATTTGAAGGGTGGGCGATATTAAACTGAGAACGTGCTACCCAAAAAGGAATTGATTTGTGGTATCCATGTTCAAGAATTTTCCCAGAAAGGGTTCTGACTACCCAAAATAACAGAAGCAAGGCTGTACTCTAAGAAAAATATTCAATTGAGCCCAGTTCTCTGAACCTCTGAAATCCAGGGTGTCCAGCATAGGGTTTGTATGAAAAAAAAATTAGGCGCCATGGACCACTGGGCACTGCTAGAGCACAGCCCTGAGAAAAGACAAATATATCCCTGGTATTTGGTTAAAGTATGCCCTGTTTACAAACCAGAGTATTAAACAAAGCCTACATTTGGAGACATGGGCAGCACAGCCCCCCTCCCCCTCCCTCCACTAATCACTGTGGACAATGAACTAGCCTGATGTTGTGATTTAACTACATGTAGTTTGAAGATGCTGCAAAGGAGATGGCAGATGAAGTAACAAAGCCAAGGCCACTGGGAGAAGAAGAGGTTCAAGACATTCAAATAACGTTGAAGTCAGATGCTAATCCTATGAGTGTCAGGGAGCTTAGGGCAAGTATATGGTTTTGAATAAACACTGCGTCACGACGTCCAACCTCCATGAGTTAGTGACTTAAACAGATTAGATACCTTTGTTATTCATATCAACGTTGGTTTGTGTTACTTCATTGATTTGATTGAATCAGGGAACTTCCAATTTCAACAAGAGTTTGTAAAGAATGCCAACACGTTTTTTTGAATACGTATTATCTTGAAAAATATTATCAGAAACTGGCAAAAAAAATTTGGAAACTATGCTTTCCTATTGAATCAAATGCCACAGACAAAATTCTGCATACTACTGAGGAAAAAAGGTAAGGTAAAGGCACACACGAGCCAAAGGCCGAAATGGTCAGAGCTTTAACTTTATTATTTATATAGCGCAAAATACATGAGTATATGATCTAATGTGCTATCAATTTTCCACTTGGTATCATTTATGACCAANCTGAAATCCAGGGTGTCCAGCATAGGGTTTGTATGAAAAAAAAATTAGGCGCCATGGACCACTGGGCACTGCTAGAGCACAGCCCTGAGAAAAGACAAATATATCCCTGGTATTTGGTTAAAGTATGCCCTGTTTACAAACCAGAGTATTAAACAAAGCCTACATTTGGAGACATGGGCAGCACAGCCCCCCTCCCCCTCCCTCCACTAATCACTGTGGACAATGAACTAGCCTGATGTTGTGATTTAACTACATGTAGTTTGAAGATGCTGCAAAGGAGATGGCAGATGAAGTAACAAAGCCAAGGCCACTGGGAGAAGAAGAGGTTCAAGACATTCAAATAACGTTGAAGTCAGATGCTAATCCTATGAGTGTCAGGGAGCTTAGGGCAAGTATATGGTTTTGAATAAACACTGCGTCACGACGTCCAACCTCCATGAGTTAGTGACTTAAACAGATTAGATACCTTTGTTATTCATATCAACGTTGGTTTGTGTTACTTCATTGATTTGATTGAATCAGGGAACTTCCAATTTCAACAAGAGTTTGTAAAGAATGCCAACACGTTTTTTTGAATACGTATTATCTTGAAAAATATTATCAGAAACTGGCAAAAAAAATTTGGAAACTATGCTTTCCTATTGAATCAAATGCCACAGACAAAATTCTGCATACTACTGAGGAAAAAAGGTAAGGTAAAGGCACACACGAGCCAAAGGCCGAAATGGTCAGAGCTTTAACTTTATTATTTATATAGCGCAAAATACATGAGTATATGATCTAATGTGCTATCAATTTTCCACTTGGTATCATTTATGACCAAGCTCTTCGATCTATATATATCTATGTGACTTATTATTTTAATATTATTATTATTTTAGTCTGAACAAATGGCCAAACTTGTAAAGATTCCTGGTATCATAATCAGTGCTTCAGCTATTCGCGCCAAGGCAACCAACATCACCATCCAGTGTCGTTCTTGTCGTAACACCATCTCTAACATTCCTCTCAAGCCTGGTCTGGAAGGATATGCCATGCCACGTAAATGTCCAAGGTAGAGGGTCTTGTAATTTCAATAAAATATGTGTAAAATAGCTTAAGAATAAACAAGATGCAGAAGGCCAATATGGATGCAATGAGTTACCTGATTTACGTAGTACTAAGTGACAAAAAGTATTAGATATAGAAAATTAAGGTGGGGTGTGTACATGCTTCCTGAAATCTTTGTCTTTTGTAAACTAAATTATCTGACTCTCTGTAGCCTGGCTTGAACTGGTTTTCTAAGAGAGAAATATCAATATTCTAGACCCTGCTTCCAAAGACGCCCAAATGATTGAAATCTATACCCAAATTTAGACGATCAGAAACAACACCCTTTGGGGCTTCATGCACCTATATGGCATTATTATTAGGGAGTACACACCCTCCCCTCCCCCAATGGGATGATGGTCAATGATTGCAAAGTTTTCACCAGTGGTATAAATTATCATCTTTTTTTATAAAAGTACATTGTGGAGGTTGAGGGGCATTACATTAGGGGAACACTGAGAGATTCTTGTCTAAGGAAATAACAAGATCCAGATTGTATGTCCAGAGCATGAAACAGTCCTTTAGACTTGAGATCTAGTATGCCTACTGATACTGCACTTCCACATAAAAATAAGAGCAAAAGAACAATATTGACTGTTAAAAAAGGGAAAGTTTGTACCTTCATTAATGTTGACTAAATTTATTTTTCAGTGACCAAGCTGGCCGTCCACCCTGCCCTTTGGATCCATTTTATATCATGCCAGATAAATGTAAATGTGTTGATTTCCAAGTACTAAAACTGCAAGAATCTCCAGATGCTGTGCCTAATGGAGAAATGCCGCGACATATGCAGTTGTACTGCGACAGGTAAAATATTGTTCTGCATTCAATGGAGCACCTTTCGCAACATCCTGAGAAACAGTTCAAGAGCTGTTGCTTGAGTTCTAGTGTGGACAACAAAAACCATGAAAAGAAGATGAACTATGCAAGGTTCTTTCTTTCCTGTCGAATTGGAGTAGCTGGCCCTGAAGCTTTTCAAAAGAAAAGGCTGATAAATCTTTACAGCCCGAGCATGTAAAGGAATGAACCCTTCTTGCATTATTATTATAACTATGTAAATTTTAAATCTTTGTTGTTTTACATTTAGGTATTTGACAGAGAAGGTAGTTCCTGGTAACAGAGTTACGGTGATGGGGATATATTCAATAAAGAAAGTTGCTCAAAAGGCAGACAAGGTAACATTTAATGAAGTGAAAGGAGTAAAGACAAACTTAGTTGCCTCTTATAGACAACAGATAGCAGTTAACTGTATTTCACCTATCCAGTTAGCTCAATTGGATAAGCACAGTTTGCAGAATGAAAGGTTCAAACCCCAGCTGGATTAACACTCAGGGTCTTAAAACAACTGAGGGGAAAGTGCTGTTTATGTAATAACATGTGCAAATGGGTAGACTTTGTAGTCTTCTCGGATAAGGATGTTAAACCTTAGGTCCTGTCTCACAACCCTCGCACATTTTAATAAAGTCTGCTAGAAGTTAAAGAGCCCAGGCACTGTTTGTAAAGAGTAAAGGAGATAGTCCTCGGTGTAGTGGTCTATCTCAAATTCACACTCACATAGGGTGCATCATTACTCATTTCTTCGTTACTCGTAAACTGCACCTTACGCAGTTTAGCAAAAGTCCTCCAACTAGTGTTGTAAATTATCCCTGATAAGACCTGAAGGGAGTGGACAGGGTTTTTATTAAGAATTTTCATAGCAGGAGAATGGTGTAAAGGTGTACAATTACAGGAGATTATTTTAAAGGAGCTCCACGTCTGAATAAAAAATTGTCATAGGCTACCAAACTATAACC